CAGAAACACTGACTTGACCTTCTCTGCATAGCTCAATGTCCTCTTTGAAATTATTATTCTACCTGCAAGTGCACTTTATCAAGGGAAAAAGATTTGTGCATATTCTTCACTTAACTTCTCCAACTAGCTCTAGAAACTAAAATGAATTATAAACATCCATAAAACAGAAAAGCACTTGCTAGTAAAGTCTGTTAAAATCAGCAAAGGACAGCATTTCTCACATCAAAAAAGAAGTTAAATGTAAAATTTTTATCCCCCACTGTCACTTTCCCTAGCATTCTCTACCCTTGTATAAATAAATTCCATAAATGTCCATCATTGATTTTAAAGCCAAAAGATTTGCTTCTGATAATATGGATTGATCCCCTACCTAAATACCATCTATAGATGGAAAATACTTGCCTATTAATTATCCAGTAGAGACAATTCTGTCATTGTATCTCAGCACTATAACTGGTGGAGAGATGTAAATCTAGAATCTTCCTTGGCTAACTCTTCACATGTAATTATTCACACTCCCAAGAGTTTTCTAGACATAAAATCATTTTTCCCTCTTTAATCCTCCAGTTTTCTTGTGATACTTAGCAAGTGACAGAGATCATATCCCCCACATTACTGCTTCACTGCCTTAATTCTGATACTATATTATTCCCATAGGAAAATGATACTTCTTGTTTCTTATTCATGAACAAGAAAATAACAGAAAAACAACAGTTACTGTAGCTTTGCCACAGAGAGCAATGAATACTGGTGGCTTTTTTTCAATACAAGAGCTCAGCTTTGAATATTTTGAATTTCTTCTTATCTGTTGTATGTGCAGTGATAAGACGATAGTCTGTCCTACTTCTGTTGCCTTTAGCTTTTGCGCTTCCACAATCTGTTGAAATATATCATCCTGGAACACGATTCTCACTTGCTGATGCGGATCACTTCACAAGAGAAGAGTCCTTCTAAGGGTCCATCTATCCCTTCTCTTATGGCTTCACTTGCCCAGCTGTTTTCCTCTGCTTTCTGTCGGGACGAGCTGTGTACTTTTACCTCTAGAGGAATATCCAGGGCAAAATTTTGAACTGAGATAGCTGGTGACCAGCCAATCTGTCACACTAGCAATACTAATGGCGAGGAATCCCTCTGGTCCTTTGCGTCAATGCAAGGCAGCAGGTAATTGTAGGAGTGCGCCTGGAGTCCCCAGTTAGTGCCACAAGGACTAGCTCACACTTGTCTCTCTCCACTTAGCTGAACAGGTATGGCTGTTGGCCTGGTTTCCCAGAACAGACATTCCCAGACATTCCCATTTCTGTCTTTCCATCCCTTCTGTGCCATGTTAGCACCCCTTGTTCGGGTATCATGCACAGGCTTTTTCGGGAGAGCAGCCGGTGCAGGTACTCCACAACCTCTCTGTGAGCAGGTTCGGTTCACTCTGCTGTCTCCAGGCTATAGGTCTTAATCCTGGAGGCTGCACATTACATACCCGCAAACTGGGGATGGGGCTGTGAGCTGTGCTTTGTTTTTACAAACAGTGGTAGTCATTAAAACCCTAAGATACTGCAATATCTCACAATATCATATGGTCAATACTTCTAGTGTATCACAGTGTTTTTTGGGTAATTACCATGTAGTTCATTAAAAAAGACTGATGAATTTTAAGCTTTTGAAATGAGTAAGAAGGAGAAAGCCAAAGGTCAGGATTCCTGGGAATGCAGCAAACTGAATCACAATGCAGTCTATTACCTACCAGTACTTTTTCATCAGTGCTGTTCTGCCCAATCCTGGGAAGCTCAGGATAAAAATGCCATAATTTAATTTTCATGCCTGAATTTTTTTTTATTTCTTAACTCAGATAAAGTGTACGCAATGTAAACGCCTGACCATTAAAAATTAGAATTAAGTAATGTTAATCTTAGTCTATATCATTCTTATTTCAGGTAAATGAAATTTTATAAGTCGAAAATCAGTGAGGACTAATTTAGAACACAGAGAATGAATCAGAACAGGGAAAATATTTTAATTTTTCTTTCAAGCAGGTATTCTGGCTTTCCACTGGCGCCTGTTTGAAGAAGGTATGCCACAATCTAAAGACTAGATAGATCTGGTATAGAAAGAAATTTAGAGTAAATTTCTGTCCTGGCTTCAGCTGGGCTAGAGTTAATTTTCTTCACAGAAGCTGGTGTGAGGCTGTGTTTTGGATTTGGGATAAAAAAGATGTTGATAACGTGCTGATGTTTTGGGTTGTTGCTGAGCAGTCAAGGACAGTCCAGCCTCTCGTGCTGGCCTGCCAGCGAGCAGGCTGGGGGTGCACGGGGAGCTGGGAGGGGGCACAGCTGGGACAGCTGACCCAGGCTGGCCAAAGGGATATTCCATACCATATGGTGTGATGCCCAGTATATAAAGCTGAGGGAAGAAGAAGGAAGGGGTGGGGGGGACGTTGGGAGCGATGGCGTCTGTCTTCCCAAGTACCCATTACGCGTGATGCAGCCCTGCTTCCCTGGAGATGGCTGAACCCCTGCCTGCCCGTGGGGAGTGGGGAATGGATTCCTTATTCTGCTCTGCTTGTGTGCGCGGCTCTTGCTTTACCTCTTAAACTGTCTTTATCTCAAACCATGAGTTTTCTCACTTTTCTGATTCTCTCTCCCGTCCCACCGTGGGGAGTGAGCGAGTGGCTGCGTGGGGCTTGGTTGCCGTCTGGGGCTAAACCACAACATACTATTTCTTAATAGCATGGAGAACGATTTTTATAAAAAGTCAGTTTTACCACCTTTAAAGTTTGGATGTCTTACAGAATGTTTTGTGTTTCTTTAACTTTCTTTTAACACTAGGTTGTTGGATATTCTTTGTCATTTTTAATTTAAACCATTTGCATTATAAATTGGTCTGGGCTTTAAGCTGCCTTGAAGGAAGAGGGAAGATATGAAGGAAAGGAAACAATGAAAAGTCAGAAATGCATTAAAATATGCATCATCAGTTGTTCTCAATCTCATTTATTAATGACTTGTATGAAGGAGTAATTTGATATGAAAGAACGGTTTTGAGTTTTCAAGGCTTTTTTGCATCAGAGATTCAGGGTTCATGACAAGTCGACTCCAGTGCTGTTTCGAACATTCAACCTAACATGCATTAGGGAGTACTTTGCTGGGGTCCGTTTTCAGCCTTAGAAAGGAGGACAGCACAATTATGGCACAGATTATTGCCATTATTTCTGTGCTGCTTCTAGTGACAAAGCATCTGTATGAATTTGCTGCTATTAACACAGCTGGAGGTAGTGCGTGTTTGAAGCAATGCAAGAGCAGGCGGGCACAGAGTCACACTTCCATTATAACTCTAGAGAGTTGATCCTTTTCAACTTCTCTATCACTCGTGTTTCCATGATGCCGTTATCTCCTCTGACCTTCATCGCCTGACCATTGCCATTGATTTTTACCAGGTGTCATCTGTGTTACAAATTGGTCTGGACTTGAATCTGTCTGTATTAAGAGGTTTAAATTTACACTTACTGGTGGTGGGAAAAGAGGGAAAAAATCACCGAAAGTGGGAATTTGCTGAGCTGTCAAAACAGAAGTAAGCTTAAAAAGGTTTTATGGCTAATAAAGCCTGTGAGGAGACAAGCATGGAAAAACGAAACTGCAGCCCAATGCAATAAAACTGCAGTGTCCTTAAAATGATTACGATAACAGTGCTGTGAAGTCAGGCAGCTCTCAAACAATCCGGCGAGTATCTCTGTGCTCAGAAGTTATTTGGTTGCTTTCATGAACCCAGAATAAATGTGAATCATTTACAAAACTTATCATTATTTAACTAAATTTAAGGCACAAACTGCATTCAAACCAAGTTAGATCCATTTAGTGCTGAAATACATTCCTTCTCGAAGTCGTTCCTGGGGATGCGTGCTTCAGGATGGATGAAAGTACGCTGAAACAGACGGCAGACTCAAGCTCAGGCAGAGAAGGCAGCCTGTTGTAACGCCGTGGACTTGAAGCATCAGTGCCCAGGACTTTCATTATAGATTATCGGATGAGTTACTCTCAGGAGCACTTCCAGACTAGAGAAGTAAATACGGTTTTGGTGTCTAAAAGTTTTTTTAGGCTTGGCAGGCTTAGAAAGCATTTAATGGCAACACTGTAGATTACTTCGATGTTAAAACGTTCCCAGTACTCCTTGTTACGCCACTTACTTCCTCTGTGACCTGGAGCAAACCGCTCTAATGTCTCAGTTTCTTCTCCGTTGTATGGATAATATGCATCTTTCTTGTAATGAATGCGACTTTATTTGTGTCTAGAAAAAGAGAAGTAAGAGTTGAAGGCGGCTGGATTCAATAGCTTTATACTGGTGGTTGCCAACCTGATGAGAGTGGGAGAGTCATGTCACTGTATTGCCACGTCTTCCCTGACACGCCGTGTGCTACCTAAGGTGGCAGAAGCACTCCTTCCGTGGGGCGTGTGTAGCTGACACCATACACCATTTATTCCCTTCTCGGGCAAATGCGACATCTTTACTCCTGATTGCAGGGTGCGTGGCTCAAGCGTTGGTAGGTAGCAACTAAATCAGCCGGGTTTGGTAAGTGACCTTTCGGATCAGAGAATAGTGGTGTTGGTGTGCTAGAAAGTGCCGTGCAGGAGACAGGAGTCAGTGGGAAGAGGGGAGCTGAAAATCTCTTGAGGAAACTTGGTAAAGCTATGTGTGTTTATTGTGATGGCATCAGCACCTCTTCCATAGTTCAGTTACTAATGAAATTTGCACACAAAGAAGTTCACATCCTTCTATTTCATACTTCAGTAGCTGAGTTTCCCATTATGTTGCTTGTTAAAATATTTACTAATCTTAGCAGGAAAAAAAAAGAGAAAAGAGAAAAACAAAAAAATTAAACTGTGTCCTTAAAATAAAAGCTTTCCTAGTATTGTTTTCATCTTCTCTGAGGTGGAGAAGTGCTGTGATCACTGACTCTGAGACCAGGTCAATGCTAAGCTACTAGTCACGTTTTTAGTCTTGGCTATTTATATCTGAAGGCCGCTGAGCATCGGCCTCCAGGAGGCAGTGCCAGGGACCCTCTCTTCTCCTGAGCTGCAGCGCTGCACCTGGAAGACCTTCAGGAGCAAAGTGCCTTCTGGTGAGCCACGTCAGCCTCTCCCTGGAGAAGAGCTGCTGTTGCAGCAAAACTGCAAGTTGCACCTACCCTTCAAATCAACAGGAGATAAATGGGGTGCTCTGCACACCGACTCTGAGGAGAGTGAGTCGCAGAGCGAGGGCCAGGGTGTCACTGCAGATTAAGAATTGGTTATGAGATAGGAGAGGAAGATTCGTCATGAACTGCTGCTTCTCAGCGTGTAGAGAGATTAGTGGTACCCCATGGGCAAATTGTCTCTGTTAGGAGGAACTATGGAGGATTTAGAAAAATTCCAGATGGATTTAAATACATTGAGGGATTAGGGAGCACAATGGTAGATGAAGTTCAGCTGGAATAAGTGTGACAGAATAATACACATTAACAAAAATAGTCCTTTTTGGGAAAAAAAAGAGGAAAGTTATTCTTAAAACTGTTCATAGTCTGGGCTCTGAGGCTGTGGAAAATTTTGAAGAAAAGATTTTCTGTGTTTATATACATGAATCGTACCCTTGGTACGGTGACACATATTTTCAGAATTGAAAATTGAAACGAAGGTTTGCAAATCCTGAAGTAGGTGGCCCATTTCCCTGCTGTGTATTTCTGAAACACAAACTAGGCCAGTACAAGTCTCTAAGGTCAAGAGTTCAGCAGCAGATTTTTTAAAAAGAGAGAGATTTTTATAAATAATGAGCAGATACATAATCACATTAACTAATTTTTGTAAAATTATACCATAATCTTATGTACTTATTTTTATAAGGAATACTCTTGCTGCAACATATAAGGCAAGAAGGACTGATTTCTGTTCTCTGTTCTTCGCCGAGGCTGCAGTGCAATGGGTGTGCATGGAAACAGTGCATGACTGAGATTATCATCCCAATCTGGAACACAAGGTTCATGTGTTTCGTGAGGTTCATGTAAGGATAAAATGGCACCATTCTTGTATCTGACCACTGGAGTCAGATGCTGAGTCAGTGGGAATCTGGTGTTTTCATGTATAATATTATTATTTATTTGCTCAAGTGTCCCTAGTACTCCTGGGACAGAATATGGGTGTTTTGCTACTTTTTGACTGGGCTTTGTGCAACTGCCTGAATACTGGCAATTTCATAGCAACCCTCACACCTTTTAAGTTTTTACTCAGGGAATAGAGACCAGTGTTCAATACTGTTACTGGACAACTTTTTTAACACCTTTCTTTCTTGATTTTTAGCAATGTGAACACAACAGTGCCCAAGGGAAAACAAAAATAAAGAATTAATGGTTTCTGTTTGTCACAGCATTGTTTTTCCCAGAGTAGACTGCTCCTTAGGTAGTCCTTACAGAGATGTATCTCAGCTGACCACTGCTCTCACCCTCCTTCAGACCTTTTACAGAATTATCCTGGACTTTATTTTATTTCTTAGGTCTTAGTTTTGGACTCCCCTGTATTTACTGCTGGCTTAATAACATCAGGCAGTAGCATGTCTGAGGTGGTTTAAAATAACCTCCAGTCTTGTGCTGGTGGCTGCTGCTGAGAACTGACTCAAGGTCTGGTGTTAGTACATACTGCTGGAGATGTGCAGCCTTCAGCGATTGCTCTTCTCACTCCTTTTTGATGCCACCAACAGGAACTGGAAATTGCTTTCTTCCTCTTTAGCCTTTTCCTTGACTGCTTTTATCAGGCAAAGCAGTCATGGCTGGTGTGCAGCAGCCCCTTGCCCATGGAGAGGCAGCGCTCGAGTCCTGGCGTTCTGGCTCCTCCTTGCCACCAATGCATGGAGAGTGGAGATACGGTGTGAAAGGAATCAGGTCTGATACTGGCCCGTGAAGGGGGGGGATTAAACGTGCCGAAACTACTGTCACCTGTTCAAATAGACCTGCTCTACTGGTTTTAATCTTTTGTACTTGTTAGAGCAAACAATAAGCAAACAGACAATTCCTAGTATATCTGTAAGTCGTTTTAAAGAAGCTCTGAAATACTTCCGTACACTTCAGAGTCTCATCCCTCAGTCTGAGTCCTGTGACCAATGTCCCTGCTCTTTTCCAGGCGTGGAGGGAGGATGGCGGGTTGTGCTGGAGCTCGCCGGGCTGCTCCTCCCAGCGTCCTGTCAGCAGGCAGTTTGCCGGCAGCCTAATCAATGCTCAGGCTGCCGCCAAATAGTTTTAGCACCAGAGAAAATGAGTCCTCAACTTTATTCATCCTAAAGGTGACTCTCTAAAGCATTCCATAGGGTATTCCAGCCCCATATTTCTGAACTTTGATTGGGTTTTAGGTTTAGGTTTCTATCTGCAGTACTAAGGAGACTGTGCTGCGTATTAGGAAAGTGATACCATTGCCCTGTCAATGAGGGGAAGACAATTTAATGTCAATGCACAGAGACATTAAACATTTCTAGGTTTTAACCTCATTAATAAATGAGGTTATTTCAGAATTTAGGTTGAAAACCAGACCGCCTCATCTAGGTGCCAAACTTAGAGCCGTTGAATGCTGCACATCTTCCACAAGGATGGGGATGTCATCATTTGACATCACTGAGCTCCATGAGAGACAAGTGAAGACATACCCACACAGGGAGGTTAGGCACCTCCTTTCCTCCACTGATTAGAAGGGGCTTTTGGAGACTCCAGAAGACAGCCCAGACTGCGAGGTTTCTCCCTGTTTTGCTGAGATGTGCCAAACAAGTAGGATATTCTGGGATTCAGTGTGTCTAGTGCTCCTCTGCTGAAAGGCACCATGTGTAGTATCTTCTGCCTGTGTTCTGCTTATTACTGCAGGGGTTAGAAAGTGAAGCAGGAGATGGAAGAGATCTTACTGAAGTTAGTCCAAGCAGTTTTAACTCCCACATCCCAGGAGAGTGCTCTATGTACCAGCACCGTCCATCATCCTCTTGATGGCTCAGCGGTTCATCTTCAGATAAGATAGACAACATGCAAGAGAGAAGATGACTCTTAACTTGTAGCACTCAGGAGGAAGGAATACTCCTGGTCCAAACTTAGTTTTTGAACATGTGTGCATTTTACACTAGTAAATATTGAAAGTGTTTTTAAAGTAAACATTGGTCTAAATAAAAAATATCTCCTCCCCAAAAGTCCTAGGTGCTTGGTTCAAGTTCTACTTTCCTCTGGTTGGGATATGGATTCAATACTATTGAAGCTGAACACAGGTGTGGCCAAATTTTTGAACCTTCTCCAGGGGAAATAGGTGGAGTGGAGACACCACTGTGTTTGAGTTTGGATAGCGAAAGAGAGGTTGGGTGTGAGAGTGGCATTTCCCCCCCAAGAAAATGCACTTTCTAATACCGCTGTCAGGACTGTAGTTAAGCACTCGGGCAACTTCCAGGCTGTAGAGAAATGCCTTGCAATTTTAGTGCAGTGCTCAGCACTTAAAAATGGGCAAACTGGCCTTCATTGCCTATGACCTGATTTAAGCGAATTTTAGGTGGATTGAACCCTACCTTACTTCAGATTTCACTGGGGATTAGACTGACATTTAGGTTTAAGAAGTGCAATTCCCAATGTCAGGCCTATTTCTGTACTGTAGATTATTCTTCATTTTTGCAGAAAATGATTCAGTTGAACTAATCTGACAGGGCTGACTGGATGTCCATTATAGTGCTGCATTACAATTGCTAAACAGAGTATTGGAAGGGCACTAGGTACAGTCTGGTAAAGACAATACCTAATTTGAATGATGCCACTAAGGGAGCATTTTAGAGTTCAGTAAGTGGGTTTCTGAAGACACTTGGCAATTGGGAGGAAAAGCAAATGAGAGCAACTGCTTGTGAGGCTGATATAACCTCAGCATAACATTGAGCATAACATTGAGCTACGTGTTGCTCTCCTTGGGCTGGGAGCAGGCTTGGCAAACACTAGTCATCAAGCCATCTGTATAACTGGATCAGATTTTTCACTACCAAAATGGATCAATTTATGGGATTGTTTTGACAGGCATGTTGGGAAATGCAGAGCATATAGCTTTCATCATTCTTTACTTCTGTTTTTCCTCTTGTTCCCTTTGACATTGCCCACTGGCTTTTATTAGAGCTTGAGCTCCATTCAGCTCACCAGGCAGAGCTGGCCATGCTGCCAGTGTTGCTCCCCACAGACCTCCTCCTGTTCCTTCATTTACATGCTTCCTTCTTATTCTTTAACCAGAAGGGGAAGCTTTGAGCCTTGAATGCATAAATCATCAGGTCCAGGTCAAAAATAGACAGTCCATTATTCAAAGTGTTTGTTCTCACTCATCAGATTTGTAGTTTACCTTGGGATTTTCTTGGAAATGTGGCGTGTTCAGATGTTATCTTGTTCAGATAATAGCAGCATGAAGCTGAACTGGTCTTGAGATCAGCATCCAATATTCAGCACTACTCTTTTGTTGGAGTGGTCTAATTGGCCATTCATGAGGCACATCTGGTCTATAAGACTCTTGCCTCCAACTCCATTTGCCCACAGCAGGCATTTAGCAAGGCTACTAACTCACCAGTGAGGGAGAAGTTCTCTCCACCTGGATCTGAGTGCTCTAAATATGCTCTAAAATCAGCCAGATGTGCTCTGAAACCAGTCAGATCCTCTGTGCTGAAAAAGTTTGGAACAAGATCTTTGGTAGAGGAATGAGGGAAGTTTTTATTATAACTAAAAGTTAATTTTGGGGTTACGTGGTATTTGCTACTACAACATCTTCTCCATATTTGGTAGAGAGAAATATATATAACCTTTAGGGACAGCCAGTAGTGCTGCTCTTTCTATTCTTAGATCTAGAAGGGATGCAGGTCAAATAATAACGCTCTCTGATATAACAATACTAGGCATCTGACAAAGAAAGTTGATATCGTTGCCTTCATTTTATGGATAGTGAAATTGAGGGTCAGGAAGATGTCTTGACCAAGGTAAACTGATAGGCCTCTTCCGGATGAAGACATGTTCTGTTCCTCATTCATAATTCGTTCAGCAACAGATAGACAGTTACTGTTATAGACAGTTACAAAAAATGGCTAGCAAATTCTATGCATTTTGTAGCAATGACTGAGAAGAAAATCACTTAATGGGATTGTTCGAAGTTGTGCCAACTTTCTGGGACCAGATTTCAGAAATGACTCTTCATCACTGTATTCTTCTTGTAAATTGAGCAAATGAAAAGTGAAATCTTTAATAGACAATAGCAGAGGAAGATTATAATCCAGTG